CCATCCTCCGCACTTGGTACTTCACCAGGTTCTTCTTTTCCTTTTTTTCTGGGTCAGTGATCTGAGTTTCAGGAACCTGAATATGATTTCTGTTTTTTTTAAGGTAGATTCAGTCCTGGTACCCTCTCACTTATGAATTTACCAGGCTCAGGGTTTTGTTAACCTTCTACCAAATTACTTGTATTAAGACTGCCTCAAAAACCAGTGTAGCACCCAACCATTACAACCATTTTGACCTCCTGATCAACCCAAATCTGGCCCAAAGTCATAGCCAAGGTCAAAACAACAGTCACAGTGCACCATGCAAACTTGATGATTGTCTTCATCCTTCTGATGAAGAATAGTTTTCCTCAGACAGCCCACCACAGTCCCACCAGGCAGAGGTACAGGAGCTGTTTGGTTTCAGGTGGAGAAAATTTCCATGCTTCGGCCAATATGAGAATTTGAGGAATGATGCAGTTTATTACAAAATCTCTACTCAACTGTTCATGTGGACACCTCAGTGACCTGAGCCAATGCAGAGTACAGGTCTGTCTGGGCTCACAAGACAACGAATGCTTCTTGTCAGCATTGCTTCTGTTCCATGGTATGAGGAGGATTATCATTTCTTAAATTAAGATGCAGAAATATTTTCCAAAGTCAGTAAGGATCTTCTGGGACAGGGTTTGGGACTGCCCAAGTTCAACAACAGTTTGTATCCTCCAGGGAAAGAAAGAAGACAAGAACACCATGAGAGAAGAGAAAATATGGGGGAGCAGGATGATGGTCCCAATGTCAAGCATCCGAATCAAATGCACCAAGAAGATGCCCAGTCTCTAGAAGCTGGGGTGGTGGTGGGGTGGAGTGGGGGGTTAAGGAGACCCTACTCCAGGTAAGAAAGCCTCGCTTAGTGCATCCCTTCATTGATTAGGAATGTTTCTGGTTTGTATTGTTTCTGGGTGCTCTGCCAAGTGCCGGGCTCTTTGCCAAGAAGCAGCTCTCAGGCTCTCTGCTCCCACCATTTCCATCTGAGTGCCTACTTCTACGGCGTGCCAGACTCCCAGGCTGGCAGCACACCACCGCCTCAGCCTTAGTCTGGGGAGGCGCGGCACTGCCCTGCTCCTGGTATTTTGTCCCTTCCTGCACCTCCTCCTGAACTTCCTGCATCTGATGCATCTTGCAACACATTTGAAGCAAAGGAACTGGACATCCACAGAAAAGGCAAAGAAGATGAATTTCTACAGTGTGCACAAAATTTCCTATAACAAAGCGAGGCCCGTTTGCCGTGGGGTTGCTGCCTGTCCTCAGTGCTGAATATTGAAAGAAAACAAAGAAGTGAAAATGGCTTTTATGTTTTTCACCATGTTCATGATGAAAGCAGAGCAAAATAAGGAACTAAACACATTCTGTCCAAGGAATGAAGAGGCAACAACAGGTGAGATTCATCACCCTGACCTAGATGCTGTGGTACCTGAAATGGCATAAATGGGCAGGGAGATACGGTGATGGCATAAGCCTGGGGCTGCTCACTGATATCTTTTGTCAACATTATATACAACACAGCACTGTTAGCTTTTACCAGAACCCAGTAGAGAATATATATTACATCGAGAAAAGGCAGAGGGGAGGAGGAATGGTAGAGAGATTTACTGATGTGACATGCTTCAAATTCAGCACATTATGTTTAACTGCATTAAACTCGAGCAATCCTCATTCCCAGTCCTTCTTCCAGCTTTGGGATACCACAAGTTGTGGAAATTTCCAAAGAAATCTTGCTTTCGCTTTCTCAAGCACCATAGGCTGAAAGCATGAAAGAGGCAGTGAAAGTAATGAGGCAAACAAAGCAGGGTGAACATTTGCACTTCTATCTATCTTAAAATGCGTTTCAGGAGACTGAAAAAATGTGTTTTCTGGCTTGTGCAGACCATACTCGGTGTGTGTTGTTCCCCTGGCCAACATGAGGGAGTGCAGGTGTGATTACTCGCTTCTCCTTGTCCTCAGGGTTATGGCTTGGAAAGGCACAGCAGTTCATCAACACTCATCCTTTTTTTTTTTTTTCTTCCAGCCGACTTATTGCATGAGACAGGCATGTATTTTCCCTTGTGGATCTCCCAACAGACAAAAGCTGCAGTCACTGCTGAGGAGACCATGAAAAATAATATCTGACAATTCCAGCAGTCCTCTGCTAGGAAGAAAGAAATTCAATAAGAAATCCTGCAGAGATGACAAGGTTGCCACTAAGATGGTTTCTCCCATACAGGGATGTACCTTTTTTTCCCCACCCTTTCTCTTTTATTTCAGAGGAAGGAAATTGCTGTTCAAAATTCTTCTGCCTCTGTTATACACAATTTTCAGAATGCAGCATTTCATATGAGAGACATGAGTGCTCACACATGCCCTGAAGCAGAATTGCAACATTTACATTTGTTTCCTGTCTTAAGCTCTCACTGGGGACTAAAAATCAAAGAGAGTCTGCGCTGCACCCCAGAAGTGTCTGCTTTTTGCTGGTGAGTCATGTGGTGCTCTACCAGTCATATCCAGTGTGGTTTTATTTCTGATCGCATGGGAAGTAAAATGCGTCCTTGCTATGGCTTGAATCTAACACAGACTTAGTAACAAAATAAAGCACTCCAGAGATTTTATCGCTGCTGAGGCAGTGGGACCCAGCTGTTCAGCTACATTCTGACTCGGCAAAGATTTCATTGTCTTTTCACATGCAATAATGCACTCAGAAATGACAAGCAAAGGCAAAATTTTAAAGCACACATATGGCTTTGTGTCTAAGTAATACATTGGATGTGCGGAAAAGTAGTTTCTCATGCTCCAACACTATGGCAAACTGCAGATAATTCTTGTATCTTAAGTTCCTCTTCCTCCTAGAAGATCACTGTTTCACAATATACTGATCACTGTTAATAATAGATATTATACATCTCCAAAGAAATCACAACCAACAACCATTGTTATTTTTTTGAAAACACTGGGCCTGTGGAACAGATGGAGCAAATACTGCTTTAGCACAAAAGAAGAGACAGCACACAGCTCGTTTCTCCTTGCTCTGCTTGAAACTAGACAAGCGGCTGTGCAAGATGCACAGAGCTTTCCCAGACATTGAATACTGGGAAGCTGAAAGCAAAGCTGCCCTGAGGAATCGCAAGCTCTGGAAAACAAGTTTCCTCCATTTGGATTGAGCAGCTTCCAATCTTTGGCTAATCCCTTCCACAGGAGACTTTGAACTGATGGTGTCCCAGGTTCTCTCTTTGGAATCCTACAGAATATGAACATATGCCTGATATTAAAGCCTTACTCAAAAGTGAATTCACCGTTTGTGAGGTGAGTCACTGATACATACATACACACATACAAGGAAAATTGAGTCAGTAGGGGAACACTTTGCAACAGCTGTAAAAATTATTGCTGTAAAGCAGGAGACAACAATTATGGCTAAGACCTCATGTATGAACATAACTACTACTCTTCAGAAAGCATAAGGTGCCATTTATAGATAATAACGACTGCAAGGATTCCTGAGCGTGTTTTGTCTGGCCTTTTGTGTTTCACAGGTTACAAGTATTTTTTCCTCTTCCTTTCCCAGTAACCTGCAGGAGCATTTGTTTTCTTTTTCACACTTTGTTCTTACATTACCAAAGCTGACAGTCTGAAAGGCTCTAATATGCACTATAAGTTCATAGATAAATTAAAGGAGTAGCATCAAGCTAAAAGGAACTGAGAGAGATGTTCTCCTTTTCGCAGAGGGGAAAGAAATCAACTGTACACTGCGAGTCTTTCTTTCAGTTGATGTCACATTTGGGCATTGCCTCAGCTAAGGCGAAAATATTGTAAAAGCACTAATCTCTCCCTCCTTTGTGTAGAGAGCAGGTGGGTAATTCTTGATATCACATTTACAGAAACTCAGCAACTGATAATTCAGTTTGTCTAGAGAGCATATGAAACTAACTAGCAATGTTATGTACTTGAAAGCTTCCTAAATACTCTGAAAAGAATCTTCTGATGCAAACATTAATCAAAACATAGGTTCCCTGGGTAATAGTACTTTCAGTCTGCCAAGAAATAATTGAGCAAAGTCTCTAAATGTGACATTCCTTCTCTATCGATCTAGAAGGTTTAGAAATAAGGATGGTAATCAAAGAAAAGAAGATGCAAGTGCTGCAGTAGCTGACCCGCAGTACGCCTTTGCTATAAAAGTCAGGTTTCTGTATTTGCTGCTGAGGGTCCAGTCAGTTGGTAAGTAAAGGATCACTGTTAGGGAGACACAGGAATTCATTCATGTCAAGGCCAACATAGACTATTCTGCAATATATGCAAGCACATCTTGGCTAACTGAAATAACCCAGCAAACTCAGAGGTACCTTGCTCTGCTGTATTTACAAGCTTCTCACATCTTCAGGAGAGGAAGCTTTCTACATGGTATGAAACCCGCTCCTTCAGCTGAAACTGGCCTTAGCAAAATTTGCACTACAGCTGCTGCTCAGCACTTCAGTCTTTCAACAGATGAAGATTTAGGCACCTTAGCACTGAAACATAGGAATAACAGATTGCTAAGAAAAGGTGATTCTGAAGTGCAAGAACAACATTGTACAATGTTATATGGACAGTAAAATAGTCTCTATATATTCTGCACAGCCTTTCCTCAGAAAAATAATCTACCCTCAGAGTTAGGGATGTGAGGGGTTTTATTTTAAAAATTTAATTAATGCTATCTCCCATCAGAATTCAATGGGAGGCTCAATTATCAATTCAACATAAGATTCTGTCTTACAAAAAGTGTGGTCACTACAACCACATGCCAGCGCTCCATTTAAGAAAACGTACCTTGGTAAGGTTTGTGATCGTGAGCGTGGGTAAGGGTCAGTTCTTCCGAGTTATATGATGTTTAACTGGCCTCGTTCGTGTAAGGAAAGAGGAGACTCTAACAAGAATATTATGCAAATCACGATGACTGAAAATTGCCTGAGAGATAGTCCCTCTCAGTTGCTTTTCTGTTTCTGTAAGAAGCAAAGGAGAAAAGATTTTATCTTTTTTCTCCTAGACCTACTTATTTGAGCAAGTAGGACCTACTGCACTGTGCTCTGTAAAACAAATCAGTTGGATCCTTACAATTATCTGGATGCTTTTAGGTAAAGAGTGTTCACCTCATTCTATTTTACCTGCAGATCTCATGGCCCTGACGTGTTCGGGAAGCAAGCTCTTTGAACAGGATCCTCCTCCTTTAGGAGACTTGGGATCCCAGATTAAATCAGCTGCTTCTATTTTCAGCTCTCTTCTCCAGGTAGGTGACCAGCCTTCAGTGGGTACTGGCAGCTGTTTGGTTTGTGAGCTGTCTCAGAGGCTACTAGCCTTTTTAGGCACATCTTCATTTTCAGCCGTGCGCCTGCAAAATGCTGTGACAAATTCCTGTAAAACTTACCATACAAAACTTTAATGCATTTCTCAAGGTAATTTCCCATGTCTTCTTGAGGGAAGAAAAGTAGATTTGTGTAATTCTGTCATCACATTTGGTGCTAAATCTAGCAACTTATATTTATTCAGGATGGTTAAATGTAATAGCAGTAGGAATTTAGTGAGCACTTTGCTTATTTCTTCAGGCATCTTGTGCATGGATGCTCCTGCCTCAGCTGAACAGAGGCATCTGATTCAAACAGTGCATCACCCCCAAGTGCCAACAACAAAGTTCTATCCATTTAACCAAATTGTTAAACCCATGTAACTGCGAGACAAGCCTTGTAGGACAACAAAGATTTCTCAAGTGTTAATCAACCTAGCTGTGGTTTAAATATTTGGAGAGTTAATGTTGACGCCTCAGTATAGTTGTGCTGAATTGCAGAGTCTCCTTCTTAGTCTTGCTGAGCTAATGAAATGGTAAACCTGAAGCAAAGGAGCTTTCCTCCAGTGTGTTTGGTTACTGGTTCTAAAAAAACACAGAGTGTTCAGTAGTCTGAACAGTACACGTGTCCGCTCTTAAACAGGTCTCCATCCCGCAATCGGATGTCGTAATCCTACTTTATCTCCAGCAAGCCTGTACGTGCAAGCGGGGAGGGGGAAAATAGTAAGAAAGGAACTAACCTTTAGAAGCATGGTTTCTTCTTTGCATACAGCTCAGTTTTAAGCAGAGCAGATTAGTTAAACTGCAAAGAGGGATTTGTTGTTTGAAGGGGTTTTGGTTTGCTTTCGAGAAGAAAGTAAGAGACAAGTACAAACTTTTAAAGTGGTTTCAGCTGAGTTGTCCAATTACATTGCCACGGTGAATCTCTCCCACACTCCCTATCTTCACAGTGAGGAGGACCCACTGTCTGGGCCAGCACATCAGGCATACATGACAGCAAGCCCCTGCATGATCTCTTCTCGTGGAAACCTTTGACAGGTACCTGCTGCTGGCTCCTGCACCCCAGGGCTGGCATGGGCTGGGAATCTCAGCATGCTCAGGAAACGCTTCCCAGCAGGATTAATTTGCTGCAATTTTAATTCCTGCCCATGTGTTTCTTCTGTTGGGCAGCAACTGAACATGAGCCCAGAATTGAGTTACACCTGCTTGCAGCTCAGCCCTTTGAGCCACAGCTGTCCTGATGTCTGTACGAAGGCCGGCACAGACATAAACACATAGGAGAAACAAAGCTTTTTGCTTGGCTGACATCAGAGCAACACAGCTTCACAGCTTCTTTTTGGTAAAGCTGATCCAAAGCAGTCGTTTCTTCCTTTCAAGGCTAGTTTTGAAAAGCTGTTAAAAGAAAGGTGCCTTTTATTTCTGTTAGAATGTGTGGGATTTGAAAAGCAGGGAGGGGAAGATCAAGTGGTGCACTGGGGTTTGTTTGAATTTGTCCTGCTCCTGGCCTCCATCAGCACCTCTTAAATCCAAGGGGTTTTCTAAACAAAATGACTCTAGCTGGATCATCCACGTACTTAAACATCCATTTTGATGGCTCTACTTCCTCTTTTCCCTTTTGCACATAAACACAATCTCATAGAAACCTCCTCCCAACGCTAGGTACCCACTCTAGACATGCCAGTTGAAGAGTGGCTCAGCACTCAGCCCAGCAACCCACGGTTGTCTGAGCAGTAAACTGTCTTCCTCCGTTAGAAGGAGGAAATTGTGTACAAGTAAGAATTTTTTTTAATGTCAGTGGTGATACCTGAATGCCCACCTTCCTCCCTCCTAATAAATACGGTAGCTATCCTAGGTAGAAAACTGCATGAAGTAAAGCCCAATTTTCTCCTGATTCATATTTCATTTTCAAAATCCAAAGCCAGCTATCCTACAGCTGGCAATCTAAAATGAGCAAGCTGATGCCATGCACTCCTCCCAAGCCTCTTCACCACATGAATGCAGCAGTCAAGTGCTTTAACACAAAACACAAGACTTGACAGACTTGTAACCTTAACCACAGTTTCGACTTTGTTTCTTTCCCAGGCAGTACTACAGAAGAGCATTGCAGAACTGACTTGGTGAAACACTGCCCACTGACATGTGAAAGGCCATTCTGAAATGCCTGCACTCCACTTCCCCACCATTGATACGCATGCCATCCCTCAGCCATGGGCTCTCAGTTTTGCAAAAGCAAGAGAGGAAATGTAGGTAGGTGGAGAAAACCCCAAAGGCAGACATGAAGTGAGGGAGGTGTTAACCACAAGCAGCTCTTTCTTCAGTGAGTGCATGTCAGCTCCTGACAGCAGGCTGGAGTCAGTATGCACAAAAACTTAGACATTAATAATACTTGGAGTCTGCAGGCTTCAGCTACACCAAACCCCAGTCTAACCCTAATGACTTGGGAAAGTCAGTGCAGTAGCAGTGACCTTGCAAGGACCTGAACTATTTTTCAAACCAGACTTTTTATACAGCAATGCAGATTTCAGCAGTGGACAGGAGAACTGTGTTCTTGCATCGGTGGCTCATTCAAAGTGCATTTCCCTCCTCCTGCTTCTGCTTTTCCAGGGAGGGCTTTGATTCTTAGAGTGGTGACACATGAATCCTAGGCTGAAAGGAGACTAAATCATGCTGAACAAGTTTCTTCAAAGGTAGTATACAAAGATCAACTATAACAACAAATTATGAAGCTGATATATCAAATCCTGCTAAGTTTTAAGTGCACTGAGTTGATCTGCAGATACCCCTCACCATTGCATTTCATTGTAATGATAACAAACATGATGCTGACTTTGTAACATGCTTTAGCGTGCTCTAAAACCATTCTAAAAATAACATTAATACAAAAATTTAATTAGCTTAATTCAGTGCTGAAAAAAAATCCTGAACCCTGACGTTGGAACAGGTTCCTTTATTAAAAATAAGTCAGAGCCCCACACAGTCACAGTATAATCCATTTATTAGCATACCTTGTGAGCCATTGGTGTTGATCCAGGGGACACAATAGTTTTGGCACTTGACTGATTTCAGAGGTACTCAGCCCCTAGTTAATAGAAAGGGATTTTAATAGGACTGAGTGGGCTACTACACAAACAACTGTTTCTCCTTGATGCAGGAATTTAAATATTTTTCTGAAGTAAAAATACAGCCCAAGAGAAGTGCATTGGTCCAGGTCACAGTGCCTCGTTCCACAAGGAGCAGTCCCAAGTCAGTTACCACCAGAGCCCATCCTGTTCCCTCTAGCTGCAAGGAACTCCCAGAGAGTCTATCAGGATGGTGTTAAATACCACAGTGCAGTTCAACTCTCAAAAGCTTTCATCTGATTGCTGAATATACACATAAAAATCTGTCTTCAAGCGGTTGATGGATCACCGCAGCTTTTTTTTGGATGAAGAGACTTCAGGATATTGGCTTCAGAAAGGAAGGCAGACAGACAAAAGGCAGGCCAACCTCTCTTACCCCTGCGATAGCAAATATCCATGTACCTGGTTCCTCACCAATGCCTCCACTAATACCTTTGAGGAACTGATCTGTTGCTCTCTGCTACAAGGGTACAAAGATTACAAGGGTAATCAACATCCTGTCCAGGTTAATAAACAGCTGCCTGATTAATTACAGCATAGAACGTAATTCATAGAAATCACCAGAACAGTGTTCAGCTATGGGAAAAGGATAAATCTTTAATCCAGCTTCAGGTGGCCAAAGCCTGGAGTAGTGTCAAGATAGGGCTCAGAAGAGTACCAGTGCTGGCACTGCAGGTCAAGGAAGACACCAGCACTGGCTCAGCCATTGTAGGGAACTGGGGTATTCCCTCAGAGGGATACCTGGAACACTAATAGCCGCTCCTTAGACCCTTACCATAGCTACGTGTCTACTCCTGCCAATGCTCCCAGCCGGTAATAGTGACATTCCCTTTCTCACATAACCAGCATGTGCCACACTGCTTATGGGAATTTGTCTCACAGCATCCACGTGGCAGTGCAGCACTGGAAATGCTGCAAAGGACTGTGTCAGCCCTACAGGTACCTCAGCCAAGGCCAAGCTCTACACAGCTCTTCAGGCACTCCCTGCCCAGAGCTGCGTTACGCTCCCCAGACATTCCTACAGCAATCGCTCTGAGCTCCAAGGGGCTGCCTGAGACAAGGAGGGAATCAACCTTGGCCAGGTTTCATGCCATTGTAGCTAGGCTGCCACCAAGACTGCAATAGCAAGCTTAAAGCTAGCTCCAGCATACATACATAATAACATACAGTACTGAAATCACCTACAGCGTTGCCTACTATAGAAAACAATACCAAAAATAATCAGCAGATGGCACAGCCTCCCCTGGCAAATTGCATTCAGTTCTGGTTACCAAAGCTTAAAGATTCAGCAGAAAAAGAAGACAGACAGTCGGCATGTTATCAGATACCTAGACAGTTTGGGTTGAAGAGAGACAGAGAAGCCACAGTTTTAGAAAAGGGACTGTCTCTAGAGTAATGGACAACAGAGAATATAAAGCCAGGCCCCTTATTTCCTCTCACAGCTGAGAACACAAGGACAGATGGGATTCAATGAAAACAAAAGGCAATTAATCCAGGAACCGTAAAAAGAAATTATGTGCGATAGAGAATAAAATTATATTGGTTCTCATTGCCAGAAAACATTGAGGCTGAGAGCTTAGTTGGATTAAATAAGGGATTAAACGTTTATATTGAAGATGAAGGCTGGTTACATTAAATAGTTTTTTAAAAGTTAGGGATATAAACTCTCATGCTTTAGAAAAAGAAGAATCACAAAAGGATAGTGCGCAGTGTTTGTACAACACTCAGAGGACTGAGTATTTCTACTTCTATTTTTAATAACAATAGTAGTAAAGCAACTAATTAATTTAAATGGACCAAGAACAAAACTCCCCAAAAGGAAAGGCTATTAAAACTTGTTCAGTACAAACTCACATGTACTATCATTTGAAACATATGCTGCTGGCCAACATTAGGTACAAAATACAGTCCTAGGGTGGCTGAGTGCTGCCCATCCAACCAGGCAGTTCCAGTAAGCTTTAGTGGCAAAGCACGTGAGTTTGGTTTGGGCCACAGTCCCAGTTTAAACAGTAAAGAGCAATAGTGGTGTTCTGAAACAGGCTAGGACAACTGAGGAGAGTATTGCAGGCTTGCGTACAGTACCAGAAAGGTGTAAAATTAGGCGAAGAAGATCGGATACTTCTTTCCCTCTCCCTGGCTCATGGCAGGACTTACATGATGTTACTTGCAAGGATTCTCACAGCTTTCATGGTGACAAGGTCTAAAAGAAAGAAATATTTTGACCTAGAACATGGGGTTTTCAGAAGACAATGCCAGGCCTGTGTCTCACTCATGTTACATGGCAATTTATTCTAACTCCTGAATGGCAACCAGTTAAGTAGGCTTAGGGAAATAACCTCATAGCTTCAATCCTTTGGGTGTTTCTATGCCTGTTGGGGTTTTGGGTATAAGCTGAAAGATCAAACCAGGTTAAACTAGAGATGTGACAGCACCCATGGCGCAGAAACTCCATTTGAGCTGCTGTAGCATGCTGGCTTGGGGGAGGCTGAAGGTAAGAGCCATATCCCTCCATGTTTCCCAGACAGGTACTGTTGCTGCCAGTGTGGAACTTGGCATTTAATCCCCCACAAGACCAGAGGTCTGTAACATAATTGCCCTCGGTCCTCCTGTCATTTTAATTCCTGGTAGATAAGGAGCAGTCTGCAGCTTGCGTCTTAGGGACTCTCTGCCAGCAGCCGTAGGACAACACAGCCAGTGTGGAGCCAAGCACAGCCCTACCCAAGGATCAAGCCTGGCACTTCAAGCCGGGCTATCAGCACAAGCTACCCTGCAGACATTCAGCACTTGAAAGGAGGCATGAACAGATCAGATCTGTCTCAAAGGCCAGTTTGCAGGCATTCTGGCATTGCACGTTTTCAGGATTCTTGTAGTTTTTAAAATGAAGTTTCCATTGCAGTCCATTGCAGCATTGGTAACCCAACTGCCCTATAATCCCTGGAGAGGGTAAATGGAACTATTTAGTTTAGCATTCACACACAAAAATCAGCCATCTAGCCAGGTCAGCACCTTTACATTAATCTGCTTTATAGAAGACAAATTAAACCTTCAGGCAATCACTACTTATTGAATCCAAGGCAGTTTCTAGGACTCTGTCACCACTTACCCTGTAACATGGCATTGCTAATCCACAGGCTGTGCTTCGTCTTCTGTTCTTGCCTTGGTAACACCTAGGTACCGAACACCTCCATGCCTTGAGTGCAGACCCTCTGCACAGCAGGCCAGTGCCTGAGCCAGTCATTGCCCAGCCTACATGAGTGCAAGAGTGAACCCAAAACATGCACATCTGGCACACGTTCCTTGTGTCCCATTCTGTATTACTACTCCACATTTGGGTCCTTGGTTATACATCAAGTCTTACAGCCTCCGCTCCTGAGCAGACCTGCCTCCTCTCTGCCTTGTCTACACACAGAGAGAACACACTGTGCACTGCACAACTGTTAATGCACTTAGCCCTTATGTCTATTTTTATATTTTCCTACCTACTTGAGAATAATAAATTAACTTGCAAAAGTGATTAAGGCCTAAGAGGGAACTCTGTTCATTTGTTTGGATGAGAGGGAAGAAAGAAATTGAAGTATTCAACAACCCCTGCTTTCTCTCAGCATCACTTCTGTTCAGGCTGAGAACTACAGCTTGATGGCACTGCTTGCGTACCCTTGAGTTAAGCCAGTTTACTCCCACTGAGAGGAATGAAAAGAGAAATAGTGAAAAGAAGAGAAGAGAGGAAGCATAGCCCAGAGGCTGCAAGAATAGGACACACTTCGGGAAAGCGGGAAGCTGCTTTGCAGCACACTTACTGTTTTACACCTCAAGCAAATTACTCACTGCCTGTGTTTGTTCTGTATCTATACCCCAGGATTATTTCCATGTTTCACAGGAGAACTGTAACACAGAGATGTTAAAGATTAACATCACAAATAAAGAGCAGCTAATAACTACAGTGAATCAGGTACCAAGAGAAAGTCCCCATAGTGCTGTTAAATCATGACTCAATGCCTGAATGTTTGAGATTAACATTACATTTGGATGTAAAGAAAAATAATGTGTCAATTCAGCCTTTTGAAGTCACATTTTTAAGTTCTTTGTAGTAATCACGAGGGCAAGAAAGCTACTGTCTCTTAAAAATGAAGATTTACTCTCACACCAACAACTGATTTTAGGAGATTCTGCGTTAAGGGAGAAAAAAACAAACACAAAAGAACCACTATATGGAGAAAGCAGCAATAAAACCACAGCATCTGGCAGCTGGAAATGTGTGATACAGGATTACAGCAGGAGGAGCAAGCATCTCTTAGCAGGGACAGACACTTTGAAGGGATCATATGGGAACAGACATACTATTCAGAAGAGAGAAGGTTCCCCCTAGAGACATAACAGGGATGGAAAAAAACCCCAACTGTTGGCCTATTCCTCAGCTCAGGTCAAATCTTCCGATTCCTGGAATTGAAGAGAGCTGTTATGAAAAAATATCTGAAGATTTCCATTATGCCAGAGCCAGGCACCATCTTCCAAGCATCTCACATCTCCTTGCCGCTTTTTTCATTAGCGAACATAGAAAAATGTGAATAGATTTACAGAGGCAGGCCTCTCTCCACTTCTACCATTTCTGTGTGCCGGGGCAAAGGGACAAGTGTGATTGCATTACAGGACTCAGATAGTCAGAGCATTCTTACCGGTGTGCACCTGCTTCCTCTGCTCAGAGATTATGGACTAAAGTGAAACCAAAGACTTTAAAGAATCAGCCATATCTGGTTTTCTCCCAGTTCTAAGTTAACGTCATTTCCCAGTGTCCAATGACAAAACAAATCTCCATCAGTCACAGGTCAGAAGCCACAGCTTTCTGCTGCTGCAGGGCAAAAGGACCATACGCTGAAGTTTCTAGAACTCAGATGTTTTCATTTTAGCTTGGTCACTTTCTTGATCCAGGGCACGTATTTGCTGACCTTTGTGTACACACCGGGGGAGTCCTTCCGACCACAGCCGTAACCCCAGGAAGTGATCCCCAAAATGATCCAGCGTCCATTTGACCTCTGACACATGAGTGGCCCCCCACTGTCACCTTGGCAGCTGTCCACCCGCTTATCTTCAGAGAGGTTCCCAGCACAAATCATGCGGTTAGTGAACTTCTGCCCATAACGGACCTCACAGTCTTCCCGTGGGAGAAGAGGCACCACCCCCTGCAGCAGGGTTCTCGAATAGGACTTCCCTGCAACAGAACAGACTAGCCAGACCAATTCACGTACAGGCAACAGCAGCAACCTAGAGCAACGGTGCTCCACACAAAAACAGATGTATGTACATTTAATGTCAAGACTGCGGCACAGAAATAGGCCAAGCTCCGCATCTCTGAACCACTAGAACTTCAGAAAACAGTATTTCCAAGCCAGACCACAAAAAAGAGCTGTAAGATCAAAGAAATGGAGAAGAGGTTGGAAAAAGAAGTTAGATCAAAGGATGAGTCTTATTCCTGGTTCTGCCAATAAGTAACTTGAACCTTGTTCAATTTATTTCACCTCTCTGAGCCTCCATTTCCTCTGTAAGACAAGGACAGTGTTTTCTGAAGAGAAAAAATGCAGTAACATTTGTGAAGTGCTCAATCTCAGAGAAGTTTTGGAAGATGTTTCAGAGGCATCCAAATATTATTGAAAGGGAGTTCACTTCATCTTTGGCCAGATTTGCCTCTATTTGCTCAAATCTCTTTATTACCTCAGACTTGCTCAGAACATAAGGTTCCCGTGCTAGATTAGAGTATGACCTTTCTGTGCCCAAGGTTTACAGTAAGTTCACAAGGTAACTGCACCTCTCACTGGAAAAGCCAGGTTTGGTGCGTGGGAGGGATTCTAGCCATTAAGTCCCAGTACAGCTTAAGGGAGTTACGTGGCCAGGTTGCTCCTTGATCCTCCCCAGACACCCCGAAGTGACACATGCACCTGGCGCAACTCACTCCAAAGACAAATGTATATTTCCAGTTAAACACTTGGGGTAACAGCTGGGAAGGATGGGTAAGTCCAAAAATCAACAGACAAGCTCCTGGGGCTATTCGCCTTTTGGCAGCAAGTCTTTCTGAACATATGGCTTTGCTCCACTCACAGCAGCCCCAGAAAGGCCTCCTTGCCCCAAGCCCTGCATTGCATCTCTGAGCCCCAAATGGGGGATGGCTGGACAGCTGGTTATAAAGCTTTGTTTAGAGTTCAAAGCTGTCTCCAGACCTTCCTAATGCATGCATGTCAGGACTCGGCACCGAGTCCAGCATTTTAAAACATTGCCTTGAGACTGTTAAGTATTTAATAACTAATGCTTTCTAGAATATTCCCTGCTCCCTTTTACCAAGGAAGGTCCATAGCAACGCGCTGCAAGAGGACAGATACAGGCTGTCCCGAACCTAGTGCAGAAACCAGCCTCAGAACCCAGCTGCCCCTGCAGCAATATCCAGGGAGATTGAGCGAGGTAGTCTGAGAGAGATTCCTTCCACCTCTAAGCCCCCACTTTGCTATTACACTATCATGAAGAAGGCAGGAGGTCATGGAAACATGGGGCCTCCCATAGGCTTCATACACCAGCTCTGCACTGGCTGCTGCCTCAGGGGTCCGCTGTGGGCAAACACATGTGTAGAAGGGAGAAGAAAGAGAGGACTGTGGCCAGATGGCAGCGTTGCTCTCTCCCACAGCTTCAGAAGGATGGTATGGCAACCAAAACTGCCACCATGAGCAGGCTCAAGAAGCCTCAAAATCAGAAGAAAACACAGCGGCACAAAAATCACCTCACCTTGATGCCATGTGCTGGCACAGACAATAGCAGCAGGCCTTGAGCTGTGCAGACATAAATTAATGGCCCATGTAGGCTCCTGATCCTAGACTCCCCCACCTTTCTCGCTCCTCAAAGCCCCATCACTCACCTGTGTCTCCCCAGCCGGAGATGATGCAAGCTTGCCTGTTGATGTCAGACTTCTCTTTCCTGTCGGGCAAGCAGACAGGCAGAACGTGGTGATTGAAGGAGAGACAGTGCTCCTCTCTGCCCCGCATCCGGACCAGGGCAATGTCATTATCGTTGCTGCCAGCCCAGTAGTTCCTGTGGAGGACGATCCGCTCCACGGGCAGCTCCCTCTCAAACTCATCCTTCACACCGGTGTGGTAATCACCCACCCGCAGCAGGTAGCGCCGCACATCAACACCAAACCTGGAGAAAAAGACACTCAAAGTCTTGATACTCCTACTAAGAGAGAAACAGACTCACACAAGCCTCAGTTGCTATGAGACTGAACTATCTCCTCACAAACTGATGAAACAGTGCCAGCTACAGGACTGTGGGACCTCTTCAGCAGATGTGATAATGCCAACTGGGGTCAATGGGTATCCCATGCATAAGACTTTTTTTTTTTTTTCCCTATAGAAAAGGCTAAACCAGTTGCAAGGCATGTGACCATTGTGTTTACAGTTCCTTAAAGCACTGAAGAATGCCAAAATGCTGGTTCTCTTTAAGTTGTAAAACCTCAAAGTTAAGAGGGCAGGTGTAAGCAGTGAAGCATAAAGCAAGCCCGTACTGAGTCATCCCCATTAGTGCTCCAAGATCACGCGCACCACAACCTGAAGGTCTTGTTTTAGAAACTTTGCTCACATGGTTCCACGGGGCCAGGAGGATAGCCTTGTATGAGGTTATCTTGTTCATCTGCGAGTATCCCTTGGGGCTCCCCACTCACAAACGCACCTTTTGAAGCAGTGGGCTGCAGTCACTACCCAGCAGCTGCTGATCAGCGTTGCTCCACACAGTAGACGAGTATCTCGACGAAAACCCTTCAACCGTAGTGAGGCCTGCCATGGCCAACCGCCTCTGAAGAAGAAACAGAGGAATAATAGGCATCACACACAGAGGAGCTGTTTTCCTCTTTTCCCATCCAGTCTGCCCCATCTGGGGGCTCAGCTAGCATGCGTTTTCCCCTAGATGGGCCCACTGTTTCAAATCAAGTTCAAAAATCACCAGTGAATATGCGTGAATGTATTCAGCATTTGCCAGGCTATTTCCAGAGCCTGTAGGAAAGCTGGAACCAGTTCTGGCTTTCCCAGCAATTGCAGGGTAGTACCTGAGAGACTTGTTTCCACCTATGATCCTTTTCTTGCGACGGTGAAGCAGGCGCATCCCACACACACCAGATTCTGGACCTACACAGCAAAGTTAGAGCAGTTGGGCAGATATCTTCAGCTTAAGTATGAAGAATTGCTGTCACAGAGCCAAATACCATTCACCTTCCCTGGGGGCATTAATCCTCATGGTAGTTGGCTGCATTGTGTTGTGAATATGGAATTTATAGAAGATTTGATCCCACAGATTTCCTCAGTCTTGGTGGAGGTGCTTACCTCCAGTATCTGTAGTCTTATGCCAGGAGTGGGACCTCTACAGCTATTTCCTCAGTGCTCTAAACCCCAAAGTTTGCTCATAGTTACGGCTCTAAGGAAGGGTACGGTGACATGGCTGTGGGGAAGTTCTGCAGGCTCAGAGGCCTGACATGGGTGGAACTCCTCATTCTGGAGCACCCTGTGCTCCTAAGAAGAGAGAATGAAAATAAGGAAAAAGTAGGAGGTGCAGGACAGGACATGCTTATTTTGTAGGTGAAGTTTCAGCCAAAGAGAAGAACTACAGGGGAAAAGCATAAAAGCATGCAGAGATACTACAACTGGAGCCCCACATTTCTGCATAGAAGAAATGGACACATCACCTGTTCTTCTGATGTCTTGGACCTTCTCTTCCACATAGTCACAGATCACACCAGCATCCTCACTGTGCCAGCAGCTGTCAATCCCAGTGTGAGGCCTGACACACTGCCCCAGGGTGTGCTCCGTGCCACTGCATTCTACGTTGTCCAGATGGATGGGCCCCTGGCCTTCACCAAAATAAGCCATTGCCCTGGCTTTTGCTGTACCACTGCAATTAGAGAGAGGGTGGCTAATCTGCAATAAGCAGGAGGCAGGTGAATCTAATGCATCAGCACATTTTAAGATAAAAAAATATTTATGTGTCACTCCGCATACAGACAGTAGTGAGAATAGGACCCTACTCCCTCAAGCATATGCAGACATGCCAAAACTAAGAAATTAAGCCCCCAGATCCATGTCCAGACAGAAGCGATCCCTCTGAGAGCTGTTTCTATCTATAACATGCATGTACCAGAGCTCTTACCTGAATCCTAGTTGCCTGCAAACTACGGCAGCATCTCTGTCTGTCCAGCCATTATCACAGATGCTGCCCCACTGCCCATTCAGAAATACCTCAACCCGTCCCTCCTTGGTGCTTTCTCCATCTACCAGCCGCACAGGAGGCCCTGCAGCAGAAAACACATGGGTTCTAGAGGAGAAGAAAGAAAACTTGGGTTCTATAGAAGATGAATCCCAGATATCAGTAAGTTTAAAAAAAAGAAAAAAAAAAAAAAGAAAGAAAAAAAAAAAGAGCATTTCTATATGAAGACTAGAAGACTATGTCCCTTGTTTCACCTCTGTGCTGATTCAGAAGACTACATAAATATTAATTCATTTAATACATACTGGAAATCATTAGTGGATCATATTCTGAAAGCTGAATAAAGAGAACAAGAACAAAAGGAAAGTTATTAACTCTTGAGCCAAGAGTGAACAAGCTTAAACATGCCTTGGAAATAAACCCATTAAATTATAAAACTACTATATTATTCAAGGCAAGAGAAGAGTTCTACATCCAGAAAAAAAAAAAGTTGGATGCTGTCTATTTCAAT